ATTTGGACTATATTTACTGGTTTAATTGACGATAAAAGTTTCTCACGGCGAAGAGGATAGCGAGCCAAAAAGAAAGAGACGCTACAATCGTGGTAGTCTGCAAATCGTGGTAGTCGGCAAAGATCAAAAGTCTGTTCGATTGTTTGCAATACTTGAGCATTGCTAATTTTTTTATTTTTCATCCATTTTTCTATATAACTTTCTCCATCATATTCGTGACATTTTCCTGACTAAAATGAGACCAAACACGTCGTAATTTGAGTTATATTTACTTGCAATATCTTATTAGAGTAAAATCATCGATGTACGCGTAACACTTGAAATTACAAGTAAATATGTCCTGAAGTATATCGTGTTTGGTCTCATTTTAATGAGAAAAATGTTACAAATATGATAGAAAAACTTAAAAAAAAGAAAAAATCAAAAATAAAAGTTTTATTCTTGCATTAGGAGTGTCCTTCTAGTAGGTTACTGTTTGTTTACGTTCAGTCTCCTTCGCCCGAAATGTAGCACCTTTACGATATACACTGTCGACCCATCCCTATCGACACCTCCATCTAACGTACAATTATCCAGTCCCTCTGCTCGTTAGGACCCATTGTTTCCCTTCAGGCCCTTTTTCCCAATCTTTACCCGTCCGATTTCCTCTTTCCAAGATTTATGTATCCGGACCTTTTCCCATCTCACATCCCATCTACTTGACCTATCTTTAGTTTTTCCTTCATCAAGACCTTACCGATAGAATTTCCTTGCAGCATCCCATTTTCCCACTTAACGAGACAACCCGCAAACCCAAAGCCCAAGCGCCTCCCACCCTCCAAAAACCCCAGTATAAGAAGGGGACTAGTAAGACCCAAAGGCCCCACCCTCCAAAAACCCCAGTATAAGAAGGGGACTAGTAGGACCCAAAGGCCAGTCTAAGTTAAAACTTGAACGACATCCAATCTCTGTCGAAGTGTAAAGAATATAATATAAGAACGTAATTATAATAAAAGTTATTGAAAACCATACAACACGGACTTCTTGAATACTTCGACGACAACTCCTTCGCTCGAAATGTAGCACCTTTACGATATACGCAAACGGCGACCGTGATATTTTTCTCGTCTGTCCTTTTCTACGTTCGGCAAGACATCAATCAATGTAGGACCTGTACGATATACGCAAAACCTCAGACCTGAAAGATTTGCTTATATAGAATATCCACTGTATAGTGTCAACAAACAGCGGATAAAATTACGCTGTGTTGGGTACACCAGCACAGGCAAAATAAGATCCAACACAATGAAGAAACAGTTACAACCGAAAAGTGCTCACCGAAGGATATCCCCCCGCATACCTTAATGGATAAAAATCACAACGCTCCAAAGTCTCCAATAACTCCAACTGAACCCAAAACCTCATAACCAAACAGGAATACATCCCAACCCAAGACCAAGCCATAATTCTTCAGTCAGTTGACGGTATAACTATTAAAGATTACGCTCGGGCAATTGGCAACCTAATAGGACCAAAAAACATCAAATTCTTATCGAGAATATCTAACAGTAGAATCTGTATGTATCTGGATAGTAAACACGCAGTTATAAACCTGACACAAAACCACAAAGCGGTAATCATCAATAACATAAACATTGAAATCAGGCCGATGGTTCTTCCAACTCAAAGAATCATACTGTCCAACGTCGCACCCACAGTCCCTAACTCACATATAGAAAACATCTTCAGAAATAGTGGCATTAAAATACTCTCGAAAATTACCCCACTCAAAGCAGGAATCTCCGACCCGGTCCCATATCCTAAATTTTAGGAGGTAGGTGTATGTTGACACTGAAGAAGCCAAACGTATACTGAGCTTCTTTACAATCACACTGGATAACAATACCTACAGAATATTCTCAATAACTGAGAAACAAACATGTTTCAAATGCCAACAAGAAGGACATATTGCAAGTCAATGCGTAAACACAGCAAGCGCCAATACACATACAAACATAAACTTACCTCCGTCCTCTTCAGACACCGAACATATACTTAAATCTGGAATGGAAACTGAAAAAGAAATTATAGCCTTCTCACCAAAAACAGGGAAAATAAAAATTTTTCTAGCGGGGCAATAGCTATTGCAATTTCAAACAAGTATTCAGCCACACAAATTCCACTAAACACAAACTTGGAAACAGTTGCAGCAACCGTACATCTCCCGAACAAAATTAATGTCTGTAATGTCTATCTGCCAAATAGCCAACCTATCCACTCACAAGACATCCAAAATTTAATAGAACAAATCCCTCCACCTGTAGTACTAACCGGAGACTTCAATACTCACAACCCCTTGTGGGGGTCATCCAGGATAGATGCCCATGGGAAGATAATGGAGAAAATATTACAAGACCCCAATCTAATCCTAATAAACACAGGTAGTCCTACTCACTTTAATGCAAGTAATGGCTCCTTCTCTGCAATAGACTTAACCATATGCGATTCAAAACTGGCTCAATATTTAGAATGGAATGTGATAGACAACCTTAACGATAGTGACCATTTCCCAATCAAAGTAACATACGAAGACAACACCGCACAATGTCAATTCTCGCAAACGCCTAAATGGAACTTGAATAAAATTGACTGGGAAGTATACCAAAATCAGATCAACAAATCGCTAGCACCATTAAACAACCAAACAATCAACCCTATCAAAATAAATGACGTGGTCAGGGACTTTGGAGTAGGTATCACCAGCGCCGCAAAAGAAGCTTCTGGACATCACACAGCTAAAAACCCAATAGCCGATAAAAAACCGATAAAAGACACCCCCTGGTGGAACAAAAAATGCGAAAATGCATTAAAAAGGAGTCATCACGCTTTCAACAGAGTCAAAAAGAATCCTTCTACTGAAAATCTAATCGAGTATAAGAAACATCGAGCCAAATTTCGCAGGATAATTAAAGAAAGTAAAAAACAATCATGGAAATTATACATGTCATCTTTATCAAACCAGATCCCCGCGAAACAAGTGTGACAAAAAATCAAACAAATAAATGGAAAGAACACTTACTTCGGAATTCAATACCTTATTACGGAACAAAATTAAACACTGTCTAACACAAAAGAAATCGCCAATACCCTGGCCGAGAAATTTAAATCAAATTCCAGCAATAGTAACTACTCTGCAGCCTTCATGAAAAAAAATCAAAGATCGTGAAAGAGAAATAAGTGAACAGCTTCAACGTATAGATGGAAACACAGTTGACACAGTAATTAACTAAGACATAACGATGAATGAATTAACCAACTGCCTGCAACTAACAAAGGACTCGTCGTCTGGTCCAGACAATATTCCCAACAGACTGCTAAAAAACCTCCCCGAGACTGGAAGAAGATATCTACTCCAAATATACAACTGCATATGGACCCATGAAGTCTTCCCTGACAATTGGAAAAAAGCCATAGTTGTCCCAATCCTAAAACCTGAAAAAGACAAATACAAACCAGAGAGCTATCGCCCAATTGCTTTAACCAACAATATGTGTAAACTTCTCGAAAAAATTATTAACAAAAGACTTCGCTGGTTCCTTGAAAGTAACAACCTTCTGTCCCCAACCCAATATGGATTTCGTGAATACCGCTTCACAACGGACGTACTTACCAACGTCCATACAAGTAAGTAACACGTCACTCAATAAGTCCCTGGTCTGACACATATATGGCGACACTGGTGACAGACCCACGTTATTTTTGAATAATACTAACTTTCAAACAGTGCGTGTCAAAATTTTATGGTATTCTGACTGATAGTTTAGAAGTTACAGTCATTTTAGTACTCGCAGTTTCGTAATTTTGAAGACAATGGATAGAAAGGAATTTCGTGTGTTGATTAAACACTGTTTTTTAATCGGAAAAAATACTGTTGAAGCCAAAAAGTGTCTTGATAAGCATTATAGGGACTCTGCACCAGGGAAATCAACTATCATTGACTGGTATGTTGAATTTAAATGCGGTCGTACAAGCACCGATGATGCTGAACGCTCTGGTTGCCCAAAATCAGCAGTTGTTCCAGAAAACATAAAAAATGTCGACAAAATAGTTCTAAAAGACCGTAAACTTAAGTTGCGTGAGATAGCTGATGCCTTGAAGTTATCAGAAGGTAATGTCTTCACAATTTTGCATGAAAATTTGGGCATGTGCAAATTGCTTCCGAAGTGGGTGCCGCGTTTGCTCTCACAAAGCCAATGCACCGTGTCACAAGTCGATGAACACGATGGTTCGATTGAATAAATTACGTTTTAAATTGTTTCCCCACACACCGTACTTCCCAGATTTGGACCCCAGCGACTACTGGCTTTTTGCAGATATGAAAAAAATGCTCCAGGGAGAGAAATTTGGCTCAAATGAAGAAGTGATTGCGGAAACTGAGGCTTATTTTGGGGACAAAGACAAATCGTTTTATATAAAGGGAATTGAAAAGAGGAGCGTTTGAATCAATGTATCACACTGGAAGGAAAGTATAAATGAGAATCACGTTTTGTGGAATATCTCGGGTACCAGTTGAGCTAGAGGGATGGTTTAAATTGCAAAGTTGTGTATTTTTTAATGCGGAATCCAACTGTGCAAATGGATTTTAAAAAATCGCATTTGTTTAAATAATATATTAAAAAATGACACTTTTTTGTTAATTTCTCTATTTAAAAGTTGTTGTATCTTCTCATAATTTTTTATACGATATACCAGCAAATCCCAAAATCACGCAATTTACACTGACTCTATGAGCGTAGTTCGAGCTATAGCAAACACTGGCAAAATTAATAAAAACGTAATTATCAGAAACTCTTTAACACTATACTCAGAACTTGTCTCCTCCAAGAAAACGGCACATATTACATGGATCCCCTCACACCAAGGAATAAGTGGAAACACGCAGACTCCAGCGCCAAAGAAGCAACCACCATGCAGTCCGAATTCCAGCCAACACCTATCCCACACAGGAATTCATCCACCACTACAGTATTCTCTCCGTAAATGTTAAAAAGATCTCTACCGTAAATGTTAAAATTTTATCCCCACTACTGGGGGATCCCCCTCGAAATCAGTCAAGAATGAAATACGATCGATCGCCGAAACGACGAGGATCGAATATCGGTGAGACACATACTAATGCAAGCAAAGGAAAAGATTGTAACTTTCTTATTTCTTACTATTTTTTCAGGAAACTTTTACTGTTGTATTTGTCTAGATTTCCTGATTAAAATGACACCAAACATAACATAATTACATTAACAATTGCGTGTGTAACGAGTGATTAAAGTTTTTAACATAAAAGAGGACGGCGAATGGAAAAGAAAGAGAAGCAGAAGGTTGACGCGTTCGGCAAACATGAAACACTCGTGCGTCTTCTGTCTTTTAAATTCAAAAATCAAAATTCTTTATTTTTGGGGTTTCATCAATGAAGCTTTGATTATCGTATTCTTATTTCTTACTATTTTTTCATGAAACTTTTACTGTTGTATTTATCTAGATTTCCTGATTAAAATAACATCAAACATGATATAATTACGTTAACAATTGCGTGTGTAACGAGTGATTAAAGTTTTTAACACAAAAGAGGACGGCGAATGGAAAAGAAAGAGAAGCAGAAGGTTGACGCGTTCGGCAAACATGAAACACTCGTGCGTCTTCTGTCTTTTAAATTCAAAAATTAAAATTCTTTAAAAAATGAGACGAATACGATAATCAAAGCTTCATTGATGAAACCCCAAAAATAAAGAATTTTGATTTTTGAATTTAAAAGACAGAACACGCACGAGTCTTTCATGTTTGCCGAACGCTCGAGACTCTATCCCTCCTTGTCTTTTGTATCGCTGGCTCTTTTTTACGTTCGGCACACCGGCTTGTTACATAAGTAATTACGATCGTAATTATATCGTGTTTGGTGTTATTTTAATCAGAAAAACGGGATAAATACGATGGTAAAAGTTCCATTGACGAAAAGCCAAAAATAAAGAATTTTAATTCTTAAATTTAAAAGACAGAACACGCACGAGTCTTTCATGTTTGCCGAACGCTCGAGACTCTATCCCTCCTTGTCTTTTGTATCGCTGGCTCTTTTTTACGTTCGGCACACCACAAAGAATGTAGGACCTCTACCGTAAATGTTACAATCGAGACCGGCAAAAGTAACATTTACGGAGAGAATATTGTACAGTAAATATTCGATATGTGCACCATTCTCGGGTCTGAACTGGTGCAGATATCGTACAGTTCCTACATTGATTGATGTTTTGCCGAACGTAGAAAAGGACAGCGAGCGAAGGATACCGAATGTAAACAAACGGAAACATAGTGAGGAATAATACTAATGCAAGAGTAAAACTTCTTTATTTTCCATTTTTTCGTTATCCAACTTTTACTAATAGATTCTTCATATTTTTCTAATTAAAATAAGACTAAACACTAAATAATTTAGACTATGTATAGTACATGTTCGATATGTGCACCATTCTCGGGACCGAACTGATGCAGATATCGTACAGTTCCTACATTGATTGATGTTTTGCCGAACGTCGAACTGGTGCAGATATCGTACAGTTCCTACATTGATTGATGTTTTGCCGAACGTCGAACTGGTGCAGATATCGTACAGTTCCTACATTGATTGATGTTTTGCCGAACGTCGAACTGGTGCAGATATCGTACAGTTCCTACATTGATTGATGTTTTGCCGAACGTCGAACTGGTGCAGATATCGTACAGTTCCTACATTGATTGATGTTTTGCCGAACGTCGAACTGGTGCAGATATCGTACAGTTCCTACATTGATTGATGTTTTGCCGAACGTCGAACTGGTGCAGATATCGTACAGTTCCTACATTGATTGATGTTTTGCCGAACGTCGAACTGGTGCAGATATCGTACAGTTCCTACATTGATTGATGTTTTGCCGAACGT